AAAAAAATAAAATAAAAACATGAGAAAACAATGTGTTGCTTTCATACTTACTGTCTTTGATCTAGTTAAGATAAAGTCAGAGATATGCTTGGTAAGAAAAATATTACTCAAAGCATTATCATTTATCAACTGATTTGTTTTCAAGAGAAAAAAGGAAGAACACAAATATTTGGTTTTCTATTCAGATGACCATTTGCTATCTCAAAATATGTATGTCAATCTTACAAGAGCCAAACCAGGAAGGAATTTTTGGATGGTAATATATTTGTAGCATGGCTTTGTCTTCCTAGGTTTCATATTTTGGGGAATTATTTCCCATTCTCCTCAGTTTAATCATAACATTTATTTCCCTGACTGTTTTCTCTAAGATTAATATTTCCCAATTTTAAAATCATAATGCTTTATAGTTCTAAAGAAATTAAGCTCAACATTTAAAAAAAAGGGTCTAGTAAAGAAAATTGGGCCTGCTAAGTTGGTCAAGTCATGCCATAAAGATATATCTTGCTCATACTGGTGATTTCCACAGATCAAATTTCCCATAAATACTTCATCATATTCCTACTAGGCCAATGTATGGGTAAATTAAATAAAAATATGGGTATAAAAAGATGTTCTTCTCATAATGAGAAAACAAAAATCTAAAGTACTCATTGGCAAGTCTGAACCAGCTCAGAAGCTACACATATTAAAGTTTTCTGATATGCCTATATTTTGTCTACAGTATAAATATAATTTAAACTTATTCCTGAAATATCTGTTACTTAAATAAAAAACCAACATTATTCAATCAATATTACTTAAGCAAACAAATAACCCCAACCACATATACTCTACTTCCAAACCTGAGCTCACGTCAATATAAGGTATAACTGGAGGGTTTTGTTATTTCAAAAGCAGATTATTTTAAAAACTCCATTTATTTTCTTCAGTTGTTATATGCTTCGTTAATAATAATAACAGTTAACATTTTTGATCTTTAACATTGTGTGCCAGGCACCAAGCTAAACGTTTTATATGCACTAAACTCATTTAATCCTCATTTTAAAAAACACGATGCTACGTGTATTACTATTTCTTCCATTTTCTCAATGAAGAAACTGAGGCTTGGAGAAGTTAAGTAACTTACCCGTAGCTACTCAGCTAGTAAAAGAGAACTGAGATTTAAACCCAGATCAGACTCCAAAACTATGTTCTCCACCATTATACTGTACTACTATAAAGCATCATATTTTCAGATACTTGGAATAAAGTTTGTAGAAGAAGCACTATGTTTTAAACAGCTCTCTGGGTCAAAGAAAAACCCAGAATAATCTGACGGGATGCTTGCTAGAATATGGGAAAAGTGGATTTCTTTATGCCTTTCCATAAATTTCTGTTGTTTGCGACCTGTTTAGGTGCCAATTTACTGATTTGTCATTCTGCTCAAAGCAGAAGGAATTCTCTGCCAGATGCTGCGATTAAGACACAATCCCTTCTATCTTTCAATTATAGATATCAGGGAGTCCTTTACTACTCTCTGAACATAACTGTATGTCTGCATTAGGAGGATGTGGGTAACGAGGAGAGAGAATAAGAAGCAGGTATTAAGGGCTATGTCACGTAGATAACGAGCAGGAGACTGGAGGTAACATCTAACAAGGTTTACTCACGCATTGCTCAGATTCCAAATGCCTAATGAATCTGCCCTGTTCTTCACCAGCAGGAGTCTGCTTTAATTAAGCAACTTTCATACAAGTGAAACAATAATAAACATTATGATTCTACTAAGTTAAATCTCTCATTCTGAATGTGGGATACATATATGTTGAATCCTAACTCCAGGAATCACACCTGCAGTACAAACCTGGTCAATATTGAGGCGAAGTGGCATTAGTGACACTCCTAAGCAGCATTCCTGTGGGGACCTGCCAGACTCCGGGCGCACGTGTAATGCTTTAACTGTCAACTACAAGATAAGAAAGAGAACAGCGTTTTTCCCCCAATGATGTTATGCCCTTGTTTTCACTAAAAACAGGAAAAAAAAGAAAGGAAAAATCCCATTTCTATTCCCTATGTTAGAACAAAAAGTGGAATTGTTAACCCTCTTTCCTTAAAAACCTGAATCAAACTTTTTTGGGTACACATTCCCTCAAGAATCTGATGAAAGATATGGATTCTCTTCAGAGGAAAAAATGCAAACAATCATGCTGTACTAGCAGTTTCAAAGGAGACTGCTGAGCCCCTGAAGCTAATCCATAGGCCCATATTCCAAAGAGTTTCTGTGAAGCTTTCTTCCACAAGTCCTGAGCTAATCATTGCTGCTCTACTAAAATGTAAAAAGTGTTAGAAATCTGGAACACTTCCAGCAATACTAAATATTTTGTGTAGATCACTATGGACTTCTGTTTTTCCTCAGGTATCAATATATTGGCAATTATAGTTAACAGACCCTAGAATTGACGTGCAAAATAATTTTTAAAACATAAAACTTTACACAGCACATTTAAAAGGGATTTTCATATTAAAATGAGAAAAAATATTCAGTAATCTTTCCCAGTCTAAATCTTCTGCAGTTAGATATAAAAACACTTTTCCAAAACAAATATAACAACAAAAAAACATGAAGTTTTAAAGCTTACCATGTTGGAATGAGCTTTTCGAGGCATTTCTTTACTGCAATACAGGTACAAAAACTTATTCATTTGTGACGTTGCCAGACGATCTCGAATCTCAAGATCCTGCACAATGAACACCTGCCGGGAGACTGGGTGTTCTAGGAGGCTGGAACTGCATTCCGGCTTGCATGGGGGGTAGACCTCATGCTGAAACTTCACCTGCACAGACAAGGAGAAGGAACCCAGAGCCATCTTCACATTTGATTTAAATTAGATTTTCTCTTTAAAATGCAAATATCACTTAGCATTTTCTTTGAATTCTCCGATTTCAATTCCACTTTCAGAGAACAACATAACATTCCTTCTTTTGTTCACTTATTTATTGATTGATCTGTATGTACCCTATCATCCGAAGATAAGCTTGACTGACATTTTTTATTTAATCCTGGTAAAATCCCTATTCTTTTCAAGCAAAACCCTCAACAGGAAGAAGACATAAACTTATCACCTTGCATATCTATGAAATTGCTTGAAAATCAATCAATGGAGGCAGAGTTCAAGTCCCAAAAGAGGGCAAGGATACAATTAAATACAAGGAATTGTCATCACTACATTTCTATGTTAAGCACCCTACTACATGACACTTGCACAACCCCAGACAAGCTGACAGAACTGAATACATATGCTGTCATTGGCGGCCTGGCCCTACTGGTCTCTAGATGTTCACAAAGGACCTGACATGTGCTATTCAACGGCAGGCCTTCCCAGATAGATACTCCAAGGGCAGTGGTTCTCCAGGTGTGGTTCTGGGAAAAGCAGTATCAGAATCACCTGGGCACTCATTAAAAATGCAGATCCGCAGGCCAACCTCAGACCTACTGAATCAGAAACTTTGGGGTCCAGCAACCTGTGTTTTAACAAGCTCTCAAGGGGATTCTGATGCCTGCTCAACTCTGAGAGACACTGTTCTAGGGGTAGCCTAGGAAAACAAAAACAAAAACAAAACCTCAGCCTTCTCAGAACGTCTGAGAAGGAAAAAGAGGTAAGAGTTTTATACAAGACCCCTGCATTTTTCCAACCCAAAGGGTTGGGACTGCTGGCTTAAGACCACAAGATGAGCACGAGGGGTAACCAAAGAACCCTACTAATGCCCCTACTTCAGTGGATTTTTGCTTTCAAAATGCCATCTTACCTTGCTTAACTGGATTTCCATTAAAAAGTCATGGTTTCTTCCTTTTCCCCCACATACCATATTACGTCCATGTCTTGTGGGTGTGTGAGAAGGGGAACTGTGGGGACTACTATAAATGGGAGAAAAAAACCTTTTGTGAAAGGAATATTCAAGGGAAGGCAATGAATGACATCAGGAAAAATAACAAGATGAAAAGGGAAAATAAGATCACAGAACTATCAGAACGTTGCCACAAATCCACATTTTTCATACTTTAGAGACTTTGAGAACATGAATTTTATTACTGCCATTAGGGCAATCATCTGCTTACTAAACATTTAAAACTACAGAAAAATCTAAGTATGCTATTGTTGTTCATACCACAGGATAGACTTAGAAATGCAACCTCCATATTAAGTTCCTTATCACTTCAGAAACCCTTACAGTCAGAGTACAAGTCCTAGAAATCCCAATTAATACAGAAAAGAATTACAGTAAAGTCAGAAGTGTTTAAAAATTACTTCTTAGTTGAGTTAGCACATTGTTGTGCCAAAGGTTACTACTCCATGAAGCCCTTTCTGACCCTCCCCACCCCAATGAGAATGTTTGCCCCCACTATACCTAGTCTCTCTACCTAGTTCTCTTCTAGCACTAACCGAATAACACACTTGTTTAACAAGTACTTCAGGAGCATCAAATCTTTGCTTAGTACACTGCTGGACGCTGGAGACTCGGGCATGCACGGTCCCTGCCTCCTGAGGCACACACTGCACTTCACTGCCCTCATTTGCTCACATAAATGTCTCTCCTTTTTGAATGGAGGGCAAGGTCTGGGTCTTATTCATTTTAGTGAATGTGCCTCTAACAAAAGCTCTGGTACACGGTAGGTACCTGAAAAATTTCTGAATGGAAATCACATAAGTCATCATATTTTAGTAAAAACACAAACAATGCAAATAAGTTCACAAATGGAAAACTTTAAGAGTATCACTTAATTACAGTTTTTAATACTACTTTATAGATAATTCTTAAAATGATAAATTCTATGTATTTTTCTATAAAAAGAATATATTGGCCTGCCAAATAAACTTATGTAGAAATTAACTTACTTATAACTTTTAGCTGGAGAAGTAGGAGGGGCTGTTCCAAAATCTTTTCCTCCGTAAAGATGCCAAACAAGAGAGACTTCTTTAACAACATACCGAATTACAGGAATAGGAAAGTGTAACGGGGCTTTGCTTGTATCTGTCTTCTTAACAGGCACACTAAAATAATTATCTCTTATCACAATTGCATCATCAACCATTACTTTTACAACCGGTTCTTCTTCCTTCTCCTAGGATCAAGAAACAGGTAACACGTACTTTCTTATCTCAGTAGAAATCACTGATTATAGTGCATATCTCAATGGTACTTCTTGATTCTGCATTCTTTTTAATAATTTCAACATATAAAATGGAATAGTAAGTCCTGACATTAATGATCACACAAGATACTCTGCTTTATTAACCATAAAATGGACTCTCTGTTCTAGGTCAATCACTCCACAAGGACTCTTTATAGTCTACAATTTGGCTTTTCTACTTGTTTGACAATAAAAAGGCACAGATTTAGTGTGTGTTGATGTGTGTGCGTGTACGTGTGTAGTTATTTAATTCAAAGTCAATACTGCATTCCAAACATGACATACTTCAACATACTGCCAAATTACCATGTTCCTAAGAATGAGCTTACCCTAATAATGAGATTGCTTTTATTTTAATTTCCCAGAACTTAGTAAAATAAATACACTCACCTACTAAGTTACTACTAAGCAGTTTAACACATATATACTCCAAATGGTGATTCACTGGGTTCATTTTCAGCACCAATGCTTAACCATTTTGGTTAGTGAACTGTGGATTCACTAAATCCAGACCATGCTTTTTATTTTATTTTTTTTAATTTTTGTGAGGAAGACCAGCCCTGAGCTAACATCCGATCCCAATCCTCCTCTTTTTGCTGAGGAAGACTGGCCCTGGGCTAACATCTGTGCCCATCTTCCTCTACTTTGTATGGGACGCCGCCACAGCACGGCTTAACAAGCAGTGCGTCGGTGCGCACCCGGGATCCAAACCTGCGAACCCCGGGCTGCCGCAGCGGAGCACGCGCACTTAACCGCTTGCGCCACTGGGCCGGCCCCCAGACCATGCTTTTTAAATGTGAGCATGATTCTAAAATGGAAATTATAAATATCAACCAACCATTAGCCTTCACACAAACCACATCTCATCTCTCCCGATTCTTGGACTAGCAACTCTGTGCAGCACTCCTTCTGCCATTTAATTCCACTACCCTGAAGAGCTATCTTACTACATGCAACATCTGTAGTTCAATCATCTATGTAGGGAATTTTGCAAAGACAGAGGATTCTTCTCTGAGTCTCTGAGAGATACATCATGGAAATAGTAAAGTATAACAAACATTTAAAAAGCATCAATAGTAAATTACAAAACAAAGTAATTCTGAACTGTGAAGTGTTAACAAAATCTAAAGAATCTTTTTCAGATACCCTTTGGCCAATTCAATTTATAACACTATTTTAAGGCCTCGATCCTATTATCAATTTATTACCTGAATGGTTGCTCTTGGTGCAAAAAGAATGCAAAAGTCGTCATTTTCCGTGGGCACACCTGTCATTGCATCACTAATCAAGTGGTGAGTGAAGGAGGCAAAAGTGGGGCCAGGCTCCTGGGACACATTCCCACTCTCATCTGGAAACAGGAAGAGGTCTGAACAACATGGCTCCTGAATTTGAGATTTTTCATCCAAAACACCTAGGTAAAAAGATTACCACATTCAATTTTGGCAATTTTGAAACATCAACAACAACAACACTTATTAAGCATTTTAACCATGTGTCAGGTACACATTATGTTGAGTACTTTCACTTGTAATATCTCGTTTATTTCTTAGAATAACCTTCTGACTACTAATAAAAAGACTAATAATAAGTTTGAAGTTCTCTAAGAAAACAGTGAACGATGGTCTGATCAAGTGACAGTCTCCTCTTAGTTATTTGGCGTTAGAGAAGCTCAGGAATTCGGCCGCAGCTGGTTAGTGTTGACCGGAGTTTCATTTTACCCAGAATTTCATATTGACAATTCTGTCCTGTGGGTGGAGCTCTGGAAGAAACTTCTTGGACAATATTGCAGTGGGAGGGGAACTGGTTGCCTGCAGCAGTGCCTCACCTAAATCTACAGGAAATCTCCGCCTGTGGAGCGGGTGGGGGAATCAGTTGCTGAGCATGTCTCAGGCCAGAGAGTGATTCCAAGCAATAAAACGACTACTTCTTGGGGCGCTGGATACCCAAATGGGACACCCGTTCTCAGGCAGCTCTCTCAACATGAAGTTCACAAAAGACTGTATGTGTGCCAAAATCTATATGTGAACATACATTTTTATACATTCATATTACATATCAGATTTACTAATTCTTTCTCCATTTGTTCAGTCATTCAAACCAAACAGTGTGACATGGACTGAGAACACTGAGATGAGTCAAGTGACATTTCAGCCTCAAGAGGCTCACAGATTAGATTTTAAATTCTTCTGTGGCAGCACCTCAGACCTCCTCCTCCTTAAACTGCCCAGTGCCGAGTACAAAATCTTGTATATTGAAGCCACTCAGTAAATACTTATTAAATATTCTTTCCCACGTAAGTAGGTTAGCCGCTAATATTTATTACAAATGATGTAGTACACAGGAAGCTAAAAGATGCCATTTTCTTCCTTAATTCTAATTTATTCTAAATTAGAATGAAAGCAACATTTAATGCTAAACTTTTATAACACCATGAAATAAATTTTAAAAATTAAGAATTCACAACATACAGAAATAGCTATGTTCATCCAATTAGAAAAAAATATTTTTTAGATAGATGCTTCAAAATACTGTAATGCTTCCACTTGGCTTTCAAGGCTCTCTAATTCTTTCCAAAAGAAGAGAATTTCTGTTCCAGTAACAGCCTGAGCTGCTAGATAATTAAGGCCACACATGCCCTTGTCTGTGCCTCTGTTGATATTAATGACCTTGTCAAGATGACCTTCTCTCTCCCCTCTACACACCTAAATCCTACCCACTTTTTAAAAGTCAACTCATTTCACTTTCACTCAAGTCTAAGGAAATGATTCCAATCCTTTCCAAACAGTAGTTAGAGTATATACCACATTCTAAAGTGTTTTCTTATATCATTTCTCAATCATTGTAAGTACTAGCATCAGTCTGGTTTAGTGCCAATTTGTTTTACTAAACTATAAGCTACCAGAAAACATAAACTTTGTCTTCTACTTAATTTGTATCCCCTACAACACCTTGGCCAGTGTTATTTATCTACAAGACACTCAATAAACACAAGCTGACAGACTAACAAATATCCACCAGAACTCAGACTTGTCTTTTCTTTAATAAGTTACTTACTGAAGAATTTATAAGAACACAAATAATGTACACCTCAACTACAACAATAGTGCTTCCAGAGAAAAAGTCTTGTCTGTCTTACCATTAGACTGTGGTTTGACAGATGAAGTGGCTTGTTGCATGTCAATCTCCTCCATAGCATCACTCATCAGATCTCGTAAAATTTGCTGATCTGCTTCAGGAAGTATTGGACCACGTGAGGACGATCGACCACTGGAATCTACCTGCAGCCAAAATACCTAATTAAAAATAACTGAAAATGCTCTAAGAAGCAAGCTACTTAACATTTATTTTGTCCTAGAAATATACTACTTTTTTACAAAAACACTAGAAAGAGGAACATATTCATTTTTCTATATTCTGCCCAGCAGCTGTTACTAAAAACTTAAAGTGAAAATGTATCATCATCACCCCAACAACTACTGGCAAATAGAAATAAATGTTCTATATTCTGTCCAGCAGCTGTTACATTTTCACTTTAAGTTTTTAGTATCATCATTATGACCCCAACAACTACTGGCAAATAGAAACAAATGTGTCATTGCCTCAAAGCCAGCACACTGAACTGGGATCTTGAAGAGGCAATACATTAGAAGAGAAGGAGGTTGAAAAAAACTACAGTAAAGCTGAGGGAGAGGGGCTCTCTCTCTGTAGAGAGTTTGATCTGCTCAAATCTGACAGCTGCCAACAACTTTCACTCCTTTGAGACAAAGCCACTGTAGGTCAGACTCATTCCTTGGAACAAACAGACACACTTGAGGACAGCAGGGGGCATACACAAGAGAGGAAATTTACTAAATGGTGATTCACAGGGTTCAATTTCAGCACTGATGCTTTACCATTCTGGTTAGTGAACAGTGGATTCATTAAATCCAGATCATGTTTTCTAAAATGTGAGCATGACTCTAAAATGGAAAGATCCAATTTGAAAGGAATAATTTAAAATAACTTTTAATAAACTGAAGAATGTTTTTTAAAAAGAGAATAAACAGTGGAGAGAGTGTGTCATAAATCACTTTATTAACAGGGAAAATAGGGCAGGAGCAAAGAACCAAAAACAGAAGTGTAACACACATGAAGTGTAAGATCATCCTGAACGAAAGATAATGCAAGGCCAGTCAGCCCCTTACTAGGGGCTCCACAGCCTAAGGGGATTGAGAATTCTGTTCAAAGAGGCCATAAAGAAGAAAGAAAACACTGAAAAATAAAAAATGCTAAACAAACTGGACATTGCTCCATCTAGACATAAGAGACGGCAGAGAGGTGACACTTGGGGGCATCAGAAAGCATTAAACCAGGGAGGCCAGCCCTGTAGTCTAGTGGTTAAGTTTGGTGTGCCCCACTTCGGTAGCCCAGGTTCACGGGTTCAGCTCCCAGGCGCGGACCTACACCACTCATCAGCCATGCTGTGGCAGCAACCCACATATAAAGTAGAGGAAGACTGGCACATATGTTAGCTCACGGCTAATCTTCCTCAAGCAAAACAAGAGGAAGATTGACAATAGATGTTTGCTCAGGGCGAATCTTCCTCAGCACAAAAAAAAAAAAAAAGCAAGCATTAAACCAGGAATCAAAATATCTGGGTTTTGTTGCTGTTTCTGCTACTAATTAGGGCAAATTGCCTAAATTCTCTGGGTTTTAACTTATTCATTTGTAAAACAGAGATGATAACCTTGAACCTCTCTCTATTGCAGTGGGTTAAAGGAATCACACATGAGAAAGTATACTGAAAACTAGGTAGTATTATAGATAACAAACATGGAAGATGATATTACATAAATAAGTCTTCTGGTAATAATACTAATGCCTTCCATCTATCTTCTCATAGCATTTTTACATATAACTTGCATATAAAAAGCTCTTATATGATAAATGTTTTCTTTCTTCCCTGAGGACAGATGAAAATAACGTTAAGTCTGGAAAAAAGTATTATGTCGCTTGAGATTAATGTTCTGAAACAAAGATATCAAACAGTAGAAGAGTTTTCCAAAAAGGCCCATGGAATCAGCTTCCCAGACCCCGCCACTCTGAAATGATGATTTTTCAAAGTTTCTTTTCTACCTTATGACGGTCATGAAGAAGACCTCACTGATGTAAACATGTCACTCACGGGGCTAGAGTGGGGTGAGGGGCAAGTGACTTCTAATGAATGATGCTGCAGCTGTGCCTTCACCTTTCTTTGAGGGGTTCCAGGCTTCACCTCTGCCTTGTGAGCTGCATGTAAGTCCCCATAGCTTGCAATGTACTGAATGAGATTCATTAATGCAGCACAAGAATCCGAGCACGTTCTGATATGGACAACATCACTGGAACAGTGTAATTCAAAGCGTGGCTCAGTCTGGACAGGACACAGGGAAAAAAGGATGACAATGTCTTCCACGCAAGAGACAAAAATTTCTTTTTTTGCATAGGTTTATATTAAATAAAATGTGATAATCTGTCTTGCAACAGGAAATATCTATTTATAATAACTCAATTTTGATTTTAAAATATTTTACCTATTTTTGACCAAAATGAGGTAAGTGGAAAAATAATTTTACAGTAAATTTAATATATTTTTAGTCTTTCCTATAAAAAGTAGAAGACAAATAAAATTTTCCATTTATTTTAATAACTTACTTGCTCTCCATCAGAATCAGACTTCACTGCAGTTATGGTTAATTCTAAAAGCCCCATATCCATTACACGAACATAATCTAAAATTTTAAAAAGTAATAAAATGTCTGAGTATAGTTTTCAAAAAATGCTTACCCAATGAACACCTAACAAAGCTAGCATTTCTTTAAAATTCATCGCAGGTAGTAATACAAATGTTTATAATGCAATGGAAATATAGTTTCATCCTACGAAAATCCTACAATTGACTTTAATAACAAAATTTGAAACAAAATTTGTCTTATATTAAATAGAGTATATACAACTTGACTCACTTAACTGATGTTAAAAGGATATTACAACTTCAAACTGATATTTAATAAGACCCTTGGTTCACTGGCATCATCCCCGAGTTAAAATGCTTTCAAGCATTCACACACAAATATAAATGAGCATCCAACCATCCCAGACTTTGTTTTTTAACTCTTACCTCTATTCAAATTTATAGTGACAGTATTACACTTGTCAGACAGATATAAAGCAGCTTCATCCAAAATTATTCTGAGAAAAAAAAGATAAAATCAATATCTGAAAAACTAACTTCGAATATATGCCACATGATCACTATATACTTAGTTGTATCATTCTTTCTAATGTAAATATTATGAAAGCCATATGCTGTTTCTTTTTTTGGTTTGTTTTTTGGTTTTTTGTTTTTGTTTTTTTGTGAGGAAGATCAGCCCTGAGCTAACATCTGCCAATCCTCCTCTTTTTGCTGAGGAAGACTGGCCCTGGGCTAACATCTGTGCCCATCTTCCTCCACTTTATATGGGATGCCACCACAGCATGGCCTGACAAGCGGTGCGTCAGTGCGCGCCCAGGATCCGAACCCCGAGCTGCCGCAGCGGAGCGCGCGCACTTAACCGCTACGCCACCAGGCTAGTCCCGGAAACACTGTTTCTTACTTATAAATGTCATCCAACATTTCTTTAAAACTCACTGTTTATGAGTGCTAGGAATATTTAAATGGTGTAAAGAATGAGATTAAATCATCTGCTCAAATTAATTCTAAATTTTCAGTTTTTTTTTTTTACTAGACGCCCAAATTCACAGGGTTTAAATTATGAAAATCAAGCATATCAGGTATTATGGGAAGTTTATATATACATTTTCAAAAGTAAACTAACAATCTCAAGAATTAATTTCTTCCCTAAAAATGAAATACAATAATGAACGGAAGAGATGGGATGAACCATCTTAGAAAGAAAAACTGAAAACTTGGATAAAGGGACATGACTATTAGTAAAAGTATGTTGGCTTTAACAAAAGATTGAGATTTTAATCAAATGGTTTAGATAAATATTAACTATTATGTTCTGAACAGCTGCATTCAGTTTACAATGAAGTGCACACAGGTACCTGAGAGTAGAAGATGACTTATCCAAGGCCACGCTACTAGAAACGCTGAATGTTTCCACAGTAAGAAGAGATCGGATTGGCAAATAAAGAGGCCTGATACCAAAAAGAAACAACAGCATATCAGTCCACTGCAACAACAGACACTCCCTTTAAAGAGCATTTTGAACCTTAACTCTATTAAATTATGTATTTTTTCCAAAACAGTACATATTTTAAATAATAAAACTTTATTTTGCACCATTTGTGAACTAACCTGTAATCAAGTGCACAGCTCCAGAGATGAACATGAAAAGTTGTAAATGAAGTTGGTGGATTATATCCCAGAACAGGCTCATCAGCAATATTCAAGAAGTATAAAATCTATAATCAGAAAAATATAAAATGCCCTGCTTTAGAAGAAAAAAAAAGTTTTGATATGATATCCTTAATACCAATGTAGAATAAAATATGTCACAGAAAAAGCAACCATGTATTGGAAAATCATAACACTAAAAGAAAAAGGTCATAATTTTGAAGAAATTCATTTCAAAAAGTATTTACAAAACTAGAATTTGAAATGAAGAGGCCCATCCAACAATTGCAATGCTAGAGAAATCTTGGAAAAATCATATCTTATGAAACTAACAAAATATGTATAATATACTTTCACATTATTCTGCTTGGAACAATTCTTGAAAAAAATTTTGCTCAAGACTGCTTAAAACTCTCTATCTGGTTTTCTATATAATCCATTGTTGAGAGAAGTTCTTTTTCCTTAATTTATACCCAGCTCAGTCTGAAGACCAGTCCCTCACCAACATCTATACTCCCATATTTCTAATTTAAATATGGAAGTTAGGCCAAATCTCTCCTTTATAGTTCAGTTTCATACTAACCACCTCTCTACCCACCCCCATATCTGTATACAGGATATATATATATCCTTCATGTTTCCTAAATGCTTTTATGAAACAAGCTTTCTGAAAACGTTCAAGTTTAAAGTAATTTATTATTTTCCCAGCACAAAGAAAAAGTTCCTCTTTCTAAAGAAAATGAACGAGAATCACGGTGCACTAGTTTTCATTCTCACATAAAGAAGAGTTAACTTCTTACCCAAAGTTTCCTCTGAAAAACAACCGTGTTTCATTAACCAAATAGTTACTACACTGGAAATTAATTATAGAAACTCTCATAAATGCCTGCAAGCATGTTATTGGCCTAGGGAATACTTCTGAAGTTATGGCACTTAAAGAATAGCCACATGTTATAAGTGCAAGTCAACACATCATTTATTGCTTCTCTATGCCAGGCGCTCTACAGGTCCTGGGACATGATATCCCTTCCCTTTAATGACATAAAGATAACTCTGTCCTTGAGATATATAGGGACCAAATTTTAAGGTAAAAAATCAATTACACTCTAGGGTGGTGATAATGTTCTATTTCCTAACCCAAGAGGTAGTTATACAGGAGGGCTGACTTCATCATAATTCAACGAGCACTGAACATTTATGATTTGTTAACTTTTCAGAATGTGTAATATATGTTAATATAAAGTAAAAAATAAATCAATACATACATAACAGCTCTCTTACCTGCTCATGCCAGCTAAGCCCAGAAGGAAGCATTCTGTGCTGGAGAGTGGCTCCTTTCAGTCCTACAGCAATGAGAAACTCCTATACAGAGCAACATAAAGAATTGCATTTATCACCTACATCACCCTCTAATTCAAAACTTGAAAAGTTTTCTAGTGTGTTAAAAAAAAAAAAAAGAAGTCTGTTGCCTTTTATGCCATCATTTTTAGCTAGAATCAAATCAACAGCAAGTATTTAATGGGAAAAAGTACAAAATACAAACCTTTGTATTAGATTCAGATTTATCAGACAATATTTTAACTGCAACGGAGAGCATATTCATTGTGTCTCCTCCAACACCATCTGAAGAAGCTCTACTGAGGCCATCATCTTCAGAGGAATAAATAGTAGGTTCCAACCAATGTGGGCAGGTTGAACTAGGCAGTCGTGTTTCCATAGGAAGAATCACCCCATCCACTATGCCTACATCCACATCGAGGTGAAAATATAACAAAATGATTACTTGAAATTAGTTCACGGACTTCTATAACTCAAAACAAAAATTCATTTACTTCCATTGACTATAACATAATCCTGGAGGCAAAATAACCCAGAACCAGCTTGGCATTAATAATCCATAACTATCTGTTCACGTTCACATGACTGACAGTACCCAACTTAAAAAAAAATTAAGATCTGAAATGCTAGGAAAATTAAAGTTAATAGGAAAATCTGATAAAACATTAAGAATGTGCAAGTATCTCATGTCTATTCACAAGGTAACACAGGGAATGGGCTCAAAGAATGGTAAATTCTGTATCTGTTACCAAAAGAAAATACTACTTAAGAGAGAATAAAGAATGTCAAGTCCCATCAGCTGATCAATGGATAATAAGATATGGTATATCCATAAAATGGAATATTATTTGGCAATAAAAAGGAATGAAATACTGGGACCGGCCCAGTGGCGTAGTGGTTAAGTGCGCGCGCTCTGCTGTGGTGGCCCAGGGTTCGCAGGTTCGGATCCCGGGCGCGCACCGATGCACTGCTTGTCAAGCCATGCTGTGGTGGCGTCCCATATAAAGTAGAGGAAGATGGGGCGGATGTTAGCCCAGGGCCGGTCTTCCTCAGCAAAAAGAGGAGAGTTGGCACATGTTAGCTCATGGCTGACCTTCCTCACCAAAAAAAAAAAAAAAAAAAAGGAATGAAATACTGATACACTCTAATGAACCTTGAAAACCTCATGCCAAATGGAAGGATGGCAGTCACAAAAGACCATATATTGTATGATTCCATTTACATGAAATATCCAGAAGAGACAGATCCATAGATACAGAGAGCAGATTAGTGCTTAGGGCTAGGGGGCATGGAAGGGCTGTGGCAGGGGGTTACAGCTAATGAGCAGAGTTTCTTTGGGTGGTGATGAAAATGTTCTACCGTTGATTGTGATGAGTTACATAACTCTGTGAAATATTAAAAACCATCGAAATGTGCATTCTAAATGGGTGAACTGTATAGTATGTGAATTATATCTCAATAAAGTTGTTGCAGAAAAAGAACATGAAGTCAACTCCCAATATACAATAAGTATTACTTTGCCAGTGGAATCAGAACACCCCACAGAAAATAATTTCTAATATGAGAAATTTCTGTTCTCAATAGATTTTCTTTATTAAACAAAACTTAAACACATCTAAACAGAAGGGGACAAAACACACATATTTAACATTTGTCCTACCTTTGTGGTATAGACTGAAACTGCTAGAATGAAGGCAGATGTAGTGCTTGTCATCAAAACCTTCATATCTTGTCACGCAAAATAAGGAACCACTATTGAACTCTAACCAGAATTCACCATGCTTGTTTTCCAACAGATCTCCATTATCTTGCTAATAAAAAGATTAGAACAACATAGATGCCATTATTTAAATGCAGAAAAGTAAGAATGACCCTTGGGATGCTCCTCTTGATTCAGTTTGGGAGAATCTCCCGCAGTGCGGCAAAGTGGTCTGATTCCTGAACCATCCAACATAGTGGGATTAAAAACTGAGTAATTTAATGCTATGTGGGGTCTCTTCTGCCAAATGAACCCCTGTACTTTCATCCTCCTTTATTACAGATAAATTACTAGCTATCACTTCAGGAGGAGAACTAGCACATTTTCCAAAAGAAGGTCCAAGTAATTTTGGTCTTTTGATCTGCAATGAAAGCTAAATTCTCAAAGGTGCTGTCATCGTGGCATGCCTCAGAAAACTGATCTTCATCAGTCACTGAAACAACCTCAAACTAGCTCAACTACTGGATGTGTATATCCCGGTAGATTTAAAATAAGACACACTTTGCATTTGTAAATCCTTACCTTTACCTCTGTAAAAACTGCCATTAATCCATGATTAATACTCAGAAGAACTGAGAGAAAACTCTGCGAGTTCTTGTTCTGAGAGTCTAGTTTTTTTTTCCTACGGGAACGATAGTTGGGATCAACAGTAGAAAAATACTGCAAAGTCTCCTCCTCAGATCCACTTTCCTCATCTATGAGAAATAAATGTCACAATTACATGCTTCTGACAGCTTATTAAAATAACAACTTGAACATTATCACAAGAATATTTTACAACCTGTTTATTTCTACAAAAAATCTGGTGTAACAATAAAAATATACTTTCTATGTTTTTCTCTTTACCACTGAATTTCAGACAATGTATATACTATCACTATAAAAATAAGTCATTTAATTGATAATATACTCAATATACAGATAGAAATGGAGAAATATTCCTGTAAATTACTAAAAGGTATTATAAAACGTAGTTACAGATGGAAAACATCATCAAAGAAACATTTTTAAATCCATCCGTTGAAAAGGCTACTACTTCGTTTATTGATAAACTAGGCATTTTACTTCAGAACAAATTTAAAATATATTACCATAGTGAACTGTAGATTTAAATGGACTAAAACTATCTTTGTTGAAAGTATTAATCAGTTGACTGGCTACTGAAAGCCCAATACCATATGAAATATTTTCAAATGTCTCCACTGGTGAAGGAGCTGTTGGTTCCCATAGCAGCAAGTCATTAAAAATCCTATAAAGACAAAATTTGAAAAGTAAGTACATAACTCCTAGTTCAACTGAAGGCAAACCAAATAATATCCCTTTAAGAGATCACATGAATAATAATTTTTATAAATGGTGAAACAAATTAGATCCTACAAAAAAAGTTTTTAAGGGGCCAGCCCGGTGGCACAAGCTGTTAGGTGCGCACGCTCCGCTGTGGCGGCCCGGGGTTCACCGGTTCGGATCCCGGGTGCGCACCGACGCACTGCTTGGCAAGCCATGCTGTGGCGGCGTCCCATATAGAGTGGAGCAGGACGGGCACGGATGTTGGCCCAGGGCCAGTCTTCCTTGGCAAAAAAAGAGGAGGACTGGCAGATGTTAGCACACGGCTGATCAACTCACACACACACAAAGTTTTTAAAAAACCGTCAATTATGTTGTTTCAATGGAAAAATAACTGATATGGCAATAGTACAGGGCAGTGAGGAAGGAATCTGTACAACCAAACACCCGCCTAGTTTTACCTGTGATACATGCATCAAATTACATATAACCAAATGCATTTTAAAGGAGGAAGTTAAAAGTAAAAATCCATAAAGAACAAAAGGAAGGTTGTTCACATATGCAAGAGCACTCTAAACCATAACAGATCATGCATTGTCTCATATGACTCTCCCATCAGTCCTGTGGGGCAGCCAAGAGAGGATCATTATTCTCACTTTACACTTGAAGAAACCGCCTCACAAAAGTTAAGTGACTTGCCGAAGGTCACACAGCTAATTAGTGGGAGAACTGGGACCAGTCCCCTGATCACGTCCAGCTCCCAATTCAGTTCTTTTCCATTCCTCACTTTCTCTAGGGATATCTGCTTTTTCTCTGTTCAACAGAAGGCATGGCTTCACTGCAAAGTTTGCATGAGATAAGAATGCATATGGAACAGGGAATAAGGAGAGGAAACCCTTCTAACTTTCTAACTAGTTAGAATAGCCAAGTCAATACTGGTGACTATTGGGGTAACAGATGTCACAGCTAGGCTACCACCATATCCTACTTTTTTAAAGAAATATTTGCCACTACTCAGATGCTCTTCTGTCCCTACCCTCTCCCCATCACCCATGCTCTAAGCTTTCAAGAAAACCTTACAATGTCCTCTACGAAGCCCTTCACTAGATTTGGACCCATAGCACATCCTTCACATACATAATTCAATCACAACATCTATAACACTCTACTGTATTTTCGTGATTCCCATTCCTAGACTGTAGCCTCTCAGAGACAGGGACTTGTGTCTTAGTCATCTTTATGTGTGCCTAGCACAGTGGCAGTCACATAGCAGGCACTGAAGGTTGGATGATGAAAGGACCAGTGGATGACTCAATGGAAGGACTGCCAAAACCACAGGCTCATCGTAAAGCCTAGTGTGAATACCAATCAAGGTGCCAAGCAATGATGTAGCCCTGGCCCCTTCCTGTGAGAAGCCGCTTGTCTAGGAACGTCCCAGGCCAATTCCTGAGCTTCCGAAGCCCTAGACAGTATAATCCAAGACTGAGTACTGTGGCTGTCAGATTATAATCCCCACCCAAAAGGTCTCTTTTTGGAAGCATCACTGGGTAAAGAATACCAGGGGTACGGGGCAGAATTACGTCTATCTCAGACACACTGACAGCCTTGCCCCAAACTGTGTGGTACTCATTTGGCTGGCTGCTTCTTGGGCATATTACCCACAGGACAAAGGAACAAGAGTCTAAATCCAGATCTTAGTCTAAATTCCTATATAAACAAATAATGAAGGTATAAAATGAAGAATTTTCCCAGGAAATTCTCTTCCTTTACCTTATTCCCTACAACCATTCTCTTATCTTCATAGGTTAAAGAGAAGCTATTACTTTAAACAAAACCTGGGGTTTGTGGTATGTGATCTGTAAATATAAGTTCCATATGATTTTACTATGTTTTCCTTATTTACTTTTGGTCTAAACACAGTCTTGAAACCACTAATACTACTGGATGATGTTTCTAACAACAAGAAAGAAAACACTGCTTAAGATCTTTAAGGACACATCATGATTTTGTGACTATGAGCCTGAAACATAAGAGAAGCTCAATAAATATTTGATTAAATAAAACCAGTCAGAAATCTTCTTTATACTCTACTCTAAAGGACTTCTGACATAGAAAAAACTTCTCCTGTAACTGTGACTGTCTTTCTAAAAAGAGCCAGTTGACCAAGGCACTAAAGGAATAAACCAACATTTTAAATGTATGAAGTAAAGGCAGAGTTGGTTATAACTCCTCCTCAGAAGAATACAAAAAAATAAAATTATACATTTAAAAGGCATTATTGAGACATTCAGCAAAACTTGAGTGGGGTCTGAACATTAGATGGTAGTAATATATAATATTAATTTCCTCATTTTGATGGGAATGACGGTTATGTAGAAGAATATCCCTGTTTGTGAGAAATACACACTCAAGCGCCCAAGGTTCAGGAGGCATCAGGTCAGCAACTTACTCTCAAATGGTTCAGGAGAAATAAACTCTGTACTGTACTTGCAACTCTTCTGTAAGTTTGAGAATGCTGGAAAGTTTTTTTAATAATATTAATTTGAAAATAAAAAATATATACACACCAAGCCAAACAAGGAGCAAAGAATTCACACCCTGAGGAACTTAGATAAGGGATTTATACACCCCACAGGGTGAGGCAGCACTTCAGTAATTATGTAGTTCTCGGGGCCTGAGAGACGGAGAAGTGGGCAGAGTAAAATAGAACAGAAACTCTCTTAAGCAATCCCCATTTAACCAACTCTCCAGATGAACAGTCTCTAGTTCCCTGATTTAAGCCATCAACTACCCCACCTGCCATATGACTGACGTTCCCCATATGCTAACTGCTTGTTGCTGGTAGACTACTCTGTAGCACACCTGAGAACTTCTGCTCCCATCAGCGGAGCTATATGTTCTGTATATTGACCAATGGTCAACTGTGTTTGGCCTCCAATCTGCTCATCCCAGCTGTATGTTAAGTACAATTTAATTCAATATTGTGCTGTCAATGCTGTGCATTGACTTTTAAGTATACAGATTGAGGGGAAAAAAATCTTTAAAAACCTAAGATTCTGCCCTCAGATTGCTTTGAAACTATTTTTTCACTCCACTTTAAAGACACAAATTGAAAAATCGTACACAAAGCCTTCTGAGTACACCTTAGGCAAAAATTCCCACCAGTGGCTCATAGTCAAGGAAAAGGCTTTGTCGTGTATTTAAAAAAGAAGTGGTAAATGAACACATATTTATAAATTGAATGTTTAAGGTATGTATTACTGTTCTATGTCCCAATTTAACCAACAGCCACCTGCTCAACCAATGCAGAAAGAGAAAGAAATGGATTAAGCCCTTCTGACGTCTGGGCTGGACCTTGAACCAGTCGTTTCATTTTGCTCAGTCTCAGCCTGCACGTTCAAGAGCTCTTAGTAGTAGACATTCCTCAATTATAAAATAGTCTAGAGGCCACTGGTTTCCAAACTTTAGATCATGTGTAAACCCCAAAAGTTACAAAAAAATTGTGAAAGCCTTCTAATGTGAACTCATAAACTATATGCGACTATTTATAAACTATGTATATTATAAAACATACAAAAATTTTTTTTAATGATTTTTTAAGAAGTTAAATAGAAGGACTAACATTTTCTTCCTATACCTCAATGGATTCTCCTGTGAATCTCATCTTCAAGACAACTGAACTATGTGGATCTTTCTGGAACTTAATTTTCTGATTCTAAGACCAATAGTCCTAGCCATTGACAGTCAGTGAGGAGACCCAGAGCTTACTATTAACAGTTAAGGAAAATAAAGGGCTAGGGATATTTGATACCAAGTACATCTACAGCAGAAAAAACAGTTTGGAGTTTCTGAAGATTAAGAGAAATTAGAATAACCTGTGTTCACGTGGGAAGCTACTGATGACAGACACTAAGGACATCTTTTTCTAAAATCCCACATGACCATTTTTCAGGTATACTACAGAAGAGGTTTCCTTAGGAACAACAATAATAGATGACTACTGAGGGCTTACTGTATGCCAGGCACTATTTTCAGAACTTTCAAGTATTGTATCCAAACAAGCCTTTGAGGCGGGTACAAGTATCAACTCCATTTTACAGATGAGGAAACTGATCTTAGGGAGGCTAGGTAAATTGTCCAAGGTCTTCAGAGGCTATGATCTTCCAACTCTAGAACGCCATTTATTTCAACGTATTTGCTTGGTATATATGTTCAAGGGTATTTAAATATAATAAATTAAATTTTTATACACAAGTTTATAAGTTAGAGTTTATAATTTTGACAGAATCCTTTTTTGCAGCATGAGAAGGGATGCTCCTAGCACAAAGACTCTTGGATTCTGATTCTACCCCAGTATCTGCTGGCCCTCTATACACTATCTCCCAACTCCTTTCATGTCATTGCACACATAGAAGAGATATTGGCTCCACACCCTGTGGTAAGCTGACAGAGGGCAACCAGCCAACGTGAGGGTGGAGGGAATAAATATCTCACACATAAGGAACCCAGTTACTAGACTCACTGGCTAGGAAACTCCGCTATGACAATAGCCCATCATAATGGTAACAGTTCTATAATCAACACCATCAACACACAGAGATGGTAGAGAATATTAAACAAGGAAAGAAAAGGAGGAAGAAAGGAAATAAGGAGGCAGGAAGGCAGTTAGGCAGAAAAGTCCAATCCCAAAGATTCAACCAAAGGTGTTTAAACTCACCTATTATAAAGCTTCTCATAAAAGCCTTTATTAGGTAGAGTTATATGAATATTGGGTAATGTAAGTTCCAGCACATAGTGCGAGTTGCTGATTGCTTTATCCTGAAACTCTGTCATTTCTACAGGGTCTCCAGGCATCACCATCTAAAATATAATAGTTTAGTGCAAAAAAAGGCATCAAATAACCATTTTTATCTAAAATAGCAGTACCATCTTCTGACCCTATCCATAGGACTTGGTATGTGAGCAAATAAATAAGCATGTAACTTTTAACTTTTAACCAAGAAAATAATATATATTATTCAAACTTGGAGTTAAAAACCTAGCAAAAACAGTACACAAAGTATTTTTGAACAGATAAAGAATTAAAAGCACTGCTAAATGACAGAGGACGATTCCTTCTTTGCGTGCTCACACTTTTATTTTACCTGCTCATTTTCAAACATTACTCTACGGGAAGAGAAGGGAGACGGGGCTGGTCTTCTCAGATCACAAACATCTTTCAGGGAATGAGCACCTCCTTCTTCTTCTTCCTGATAGTGGCCATCGCTCTCCTCTTCTTCCTCAGCTGCTATTCTCTCCAAAATGGAGTGCATGGCTGGTGGGTTTATTTTCAGTACAATTCTGACAGCAAAGACAATTTAAAAAATCAAGCTCTCAGTGTAAAGTGCAAAACTTCAACTTTAATGCGGTCTAATAAGAAGACCATTGATTAAATGACTGATAGGATTCAGCTTCTCTACAAAGTCTAATTACATCTAATGTAACCCCCACTTCTGAGCATACTGTAAACTTACAAGTGTGGAACTGATGAAACAAGTAAATAAAAGAAGGGCATTAACATTTCATACTTGGCTAACTGAAATCTGATCTTTTGAGGACAAAAAGGTTATTTTTAAATTTGATTAACAGCCAGCAAATTTTACCTAAGAATTCTACTTATTATCCTTAAACTAAATCCTTCCACATGCAGTCTGTTCTGCTATTATGGAATATTTGCATATCTAAGAAACTTCATGTTATATAAATTGTTCAAATGGAAAAAGGCAAGACTGATTAGGGAACAGTTTCAGAACTGCAACAACAAAGTAATCTTGTCCTTCAGGAATTTCAATAATAAAAGACTTGCTGTTGTTGTTTTGTAGCTACAAACCCGAAATATCAGGGGCTAACAGCCTTTGATGACATTAGCTTTTGCTCCAGAGTAATGTCATTCCTTTCTTAATCCTCTGCAACACATCACTAGCACAAGGCTTTGCAGTCTCCTTTTTACCACCAGGTCAGCCCATTGTCATCAGGAGGCATGGCACCCTCAAACAAAACAGCTGTGTTGCACCTATAACAGCTTTTTTTTGCCTAAGTCGGTGGTGCCAGTTGGTTCTAGTTATAAACTATCACAATTGTTTCCTAATTTATAGATATCCTAATAAATTGTGCTTCCAAATTACCTAATTGAAATAGACTCGTTTCTTACGACGAAAACTCATGCTCTAAACTCCTGCTGATTAACAGGCATGTACTGATAATGTCTGTACTAAGAGTCTGACAGGTCTGATATATAGGGGGCGGGGATATAAAAGAAAACAGGCAGAAAATTAACTCAAAAAAGATCACCTGAATTCTTAGAGAAACTTCAGATACTTAGTTTTCAATATAATAATGGATCATTATTTCAAGTAAACTAAGTTCTTTTAAATATAATCCAAGTCCACTACCAGCCTAATTTAAGGAATGACATCTGCTGCCTGAGAAGTCCTAAAGCAGTGGTTCTCTAAGTCCACCTGCGCGTTGCAACCACCTGGTACAATTTTTAAACTATACTGATGTGCAGGCTCTAGCCCAGTATATCTCAGGGAAGGGCCCATGAATCAGTATTTTATAAAAGCTCCCAAGATTTGAAAAACTGTCCTAAAGCAATCACTGACTATAAAATTCATTTGCTGACTAACCAAATAGTACCATATGATATCTCTTCTGCTGTGGCTTTGAACTATTTTTAAAATGGTTAATGATTCTTTTGTCCCTCTAATTAGACTAGGTAACGAGACCAGAGAAAGCATTTTATACTTCCATCTCTCACCATATCTAACATACACCTTTCACAGAGCAGTACTCAATATATATTTTTATTTAAATTATCCATCTTCCTCTGGGTTCTCTCATCAAGGCTGAATATTTGTAGCTTAAATTTAACAGCCAAAATGTCAGCTGAAAAGACTACAGCAATTTATTTTTGAAAGGAAAATTTCATTAAATATATGTATCGTATGCATTTGCTTACTCACCGTGGCCAGTCAAAGTCATCTGATGATGTTGCATCTCCATCTACTCCACTAGACACATGGAAAAACTTAACAGATGGTTCTCCTTTATCTTCCTGGAATGACCCTAATAAAACAAGACTGATTAACTGAAATGCTTTTCTTCTCAAGTACTATAAGAAAAGATACTTTCCTCCTTAGAAGAGCAAAGATCCTTTGAATCAGGGACACAATGCAACATTAAGTCTACAGCATTTATTCATTTGTTCCTGTTTCATGTGAACGTGTGGGGAGACAGGATGAGCAGATAAAGACACTGTTTTCTGTTCAATGTTTAATGTATAGGTGCATAATCATGATATAGTAAATACAGCAGTTACCACTTACTGAGTACCACTTGGTTATTCCTCATATAGGTTTATGCAATTAATCTAGCAACAGAGATATAATAACTACATTTCTTAAACGTCTATTTTGTACCAAGCACTATAAGAATTACCTCTATTCACAATAACCCTATACACGTTTTTTCATTCCATTTTACAAAGAATGACTTTCCTCCAAAATAATGAGTTTCTTACCACTAGAGATAAGGGAAGATCAGATAACGCCAAAAGGCCCTTTCATGAAGTCATAATCAGCAACAGTTAATTTTAAATATCTCTAAAGATGTGTAAAACCCAGAACAGGGAAGAGAAACTTTGCAGCCTATTCCCAGAGAAGGAGATGAGCAGAGAGGGATGTGGTGGAAGAACAGGGTGTGCTGCGGACAGGGTGGTGAAGAGGTGTGATGACAGAGGCACGATGTCTAGGAATCACAGGCTAAAACATCGGGATCTTCCAGAGTTCTTCATAGACTTGGTTCCCTCTAAGTCTACATATTCTCATGAGATGACAAAAGCAAAGTAATAGAGAAAAACTTAAAACAGGTTTCACAAAGACAAGTCATCTGAGATTAGAATGATGGTTGAAAGCTCAAGCTCTAGTGTCAGACCTGGTTTGAATCTTGGTTCTGCATTTACTACTATGTGACCTTGGAAGGTACCTCACCTTCAGTCTACAGATTCCTTACTTATAAATGATAAAAATAATTGGAAATAATAAGCCTACTGTAACTATGATGATTAAAAGAAACAAAATAATGTGTGTGAAGTGCTCAGCACAGTAGCTAACAGAGTAGTACTCATTAAATTCTGGCTACTAGTAGCCCTACAAGTAAGTGGTAGCTGGTAATAAAAATGTAGGCTAAAGCACTCTATTCCCCTGCAGAAAACAAGTATTTTAACAAAGTAAATAAACCATCGTGCTTGATAATTTTTTTTTTAAAAACCGACTTACATGACATATTTGTATACAATACTAGAAAAAAGCTGTTACTCTTGTTTTCTAACATAATATTCTTTAATTTTATGATATTGTGGGGCTGTCAGATATTTTTTCATGATTTACATTTCACTGGCAGTTGTTTGTTTCTCGTCTGGCTCCTTTATAGGCACGTTAAATCTTACCAACTAGTTCTCTAAAGGTAAGTTCCAATTTAATTTGCTCTGGGGTTGATCCTCCTATGAATTCAGTCTTAAATTCTAGATCTGTGAATGCTAAATGAAGGATCTCCTTCTGAAGTGACTTCTTAAACCATGGTCCTCTTTCTTGATCTGATCGAAGATCAGGTATTGGGAAGCGAACAGAAAGGTTTAACGCTGGTGTGGCAACTTGTACTGATATCCGACAATTTGCAGGATTATGTGAATCATCTAGAAATACTTCAGTGAAAGCCTTGTGCTAAAACACAAAACATCAAAAATATGCCAAAATGTTAAGTAAATAAACATAAATGACATTACTATTCAACATTACAATATGTACAATCACCATTTCCTCATTCAGTATAATGCATTAAAATATAATTCAAATTAACTATTACCATAGTAATTTAGTGTAATGAAATTTTATAATACAATAGCTATTGATAAAAGTCACAACTATTGGTAAAAGTTAAACTCTCATATAAAAAAACAAAAATATATCAAAATAGAAACTGAACCAAAGTGAAGACACAGGCACTACAGATGCATATATATCTCACGATAGTCTAAAAAAGAATAATGTCTAAACTAGCTTATCAGCAAATTTAATACAGTCAAAAATCACTGTAGCACCCAACATTCCATTTTAAGGAATTATCTACCAATATGCTACTCTAAAGATTCAAGATGAAATCAGATGAATTATGCCATATGCAAAAGCCCATCCATGATTCATTTTTGTATTTCCTGGACTAAGCCCAGAGCTTGGCACATCATCATTTTCTAAATAAATATTCACAAAATGACTCACTCTGAGCTCCCATCCAACCCAAGGGTATAATCCCATCTGATGGCTCTTGGAAACCAAAATACACATACACCATTTACTCAAAGCCATGTTATAATAAAAGGGTCAAAGAACATGCCCTTTAGATAAAAGTCTATTCCTATTTTTTCTCTAAAATCGATAAAACTTTAGTCCAGAGTACTCTGTAGGTGACAACACGCCTTGATTTTATGAATCAGTCTCTAATGTCCTAGATTACAAAGTTCCCTTGTATGCTAGACTTGGATTTTTAACAAATCTATTCTTTTTCTCCCCTATTTAACTTTCTAATACTAATCCCCACTCTCAGCAGAAATAACCCAAGAGATTAAACCATCATCCCAATACATCTATGGCTAACAGCAAACATAGACACTAGCCCCAGACAACTTAAAATAACTAGCAATTGGTGACAATAAAAAATAAACAACGCTGATTTAAAGTGAATACTCACCACTAATTAAGGGAGAAGGAAGTAAGCAGAAAAATAAAATATCTTTTTCCTTTTCTTTTTAACCAAAGTTGTCTCTGTTTCCGGTCCTACAGCCTCAAAATTCCTAAGACTCCTTGCAACTCTAACTGACTTGATTTGCTTAGAAAAAACACCAAGCACCAGATCTAAGTGATATAATGTGATGTTCAACAACACAATACTATAAAGTATGTTCCCATTTTCAGAAGTATATCCTATATTATATGAGCTACATTTTATAGGTAGTTCAAGTAGTTTGTTAAATGTATGAATAGATAAAACTTTGTGAAGATATTATAATCACAGTTTATAAAATTCAGATAAACAAACAAGGAAATAAAATCTAATTCTACTACTCTAACAATCAATGCTACCAATTGGTATATTTCTATCCATTTTTTTTTCTATACATCAATTTTATTTACACAGTTGTGATAAAATTTATTTATGTGGAATAATATATTCCACTTTTTTGCTTAATACTTCTTCATGAGCTTTCTTCATGTTGCTGCACCATCTTTTATAACCATCGTTTAAAACAGCCGCATAAAATTTCATTCAGTATTTTAGCAAAATTTATTTGGCTGTCTACTAGCTAGACATAAAAGATGTTTCCATTTTTTCATTATTACAAATAATCCTGTTTTAATAATATATGCTATTTAACCTATTAAGAATACTTAAGCTCAGGGGCCAGCCTAGTGGCGTAGCAGTTAAGTTTTCGTGCTCCACTTCGACGGCCCGGGGTTCGCAGGTTCGGATCCTGGGTGCGCACCAACACACTGCTTGTCAAGCCATGCTGTGGCGGCGTCCCATATAAAGCAGAGGAAGATGGGCACAGACGTTGGCCCAGGGCCAATCTTCCTCAGCAAAAAGAGGAGGATTGGCATCGGATGTTAGCTCAGGGCTAATCTTCCTCACAAAAAAAAAAAAAAATACTCAAGCTCAGAAATACGCCCATTAGCTAGCTATAATTATGGTTAGCATTTGCAACTTTTTGAATACTCACCAGACTAATATGCTTATTATATGAAGTATACATGTGAGACGCCATCATCTCCACTGTAGTAAGTTTCTGTGGTTGAAGCAAGGAATTTAACCTGTCCACAATACTGATATCCAGCTCACAAAATACTGGATTTAATTTAATTTGTAATTCTGCCTTCTGAGGAACAGAACTAAGTCTTGCTTGATTACCCTTTAAAAAATACAAAAGCATTAATATAATCACTAATAATATTATAAAATTAAGTTAAAACCTTACAATTGTGACAAAATATATATCAAATGAAAATTTACAGGTGGTAATCACAGAAAAAAATCTATTACCTGGGGTCCTTTATGCTCAGAATGCTTATAATGAAGCTGAAGACACATGGGGGGATGGGAATCAGTTCGTTCTTTGGAATGGAACATTAAAAGCTGAAAAACAAAGATAAAGATAGTAAGCTATAATTACTCACATGAATTAACACAGGTGCTAACATAATAGCAGGAAGAGCTTCTGAAGTCAGAAAAGCTGGGTCTAAGTTTCATTTCTGTCCCTCACTACAACGTGAATCTTAGACCAGTTAGTTAACTTATGTGACACTTGGTATCTCATCTGCAAAACGCAGGTGAGGACTCAAGTAAAGTAATGCCCCCGAAAGTGCTCTGAAAATAGCATACAAGGGCAAAGTAACAGCAATAACTGTCATTTTGATAGCTTTGAAAAGCTTCTCTAGAACACGTTATTAGGATAGGAAAAAATCAGATTAACAATAAATGAACACAAGACATTTTGCTTGTCTTGAACAGTGCTTAGCACACAGCAGGCATTCATAAGTATTTGTTGAATAACAGAACTCTTCTGAATGAAGAGTTCTATTGAATGAATGAAGTCACTGGTGCCATAACCTGTCTGCCACTCTAAAACAAGTCAACTCTAAATTAAAAATTCTAACAGACTCTTATATGGCCTTGAATGCCATACTTAAAAAATCTGTTTCAACAAAATACAAACATGCACACACACACAAAAACTCCTTCCTATATGACTTCCTATACCTTTTTTAAGAAAATCATTACTGTTTATACAATTCTTAAAAAGCAAGACAAATAGAAAGAATAATGCAAAAGGAAAAGTATCTAGCATTTACCTCTGTATAGTGAGGAGGAGCAGAATGAAAATCAGTTGGAAACAGGCACTCCAAAAGTTCCATTTGCCCAATGGACATATCGGTACTAAAATATCGGGAAGCTGATCTTTGTCTTTGTTCATAGGATACTTTGATGCCAGTGCCTATGAATCTATTATAAAAAATGCAGCATTTAAGAGTATCCATATATTTCTAGATTAAACAATGTGTCAAAGAATAGCACACAAGTGTTAACAAAGTATAACAATTACCTAGCTATTCTGACAAATTCAAGTTGTTGGTAATAACTAATATTCCTAAGGATACTAACCAGAAAAACTGTTTTAGATTTCCCATTCCCTGACATAAGATAAAGAAATCAGTTGTTGACAGGAAATTATCCAGGATATATTTATTTCCCAAAACTGCCCTTTCTTCTTCCACATTTTAAAATTTATACGGCAGTGGATAAAATCTCTTAAATTTGTAAAATACACGTAACAGTTTCTTAAAATTATCTAGAAGCATCATGCAACATTTTAAAAACTTCAGTCAGTGGAGCTCAAATGAAGATCTACCTGTAGTTTTTGTTATATTTCCTGCTAGCACACATTTGAAACTTTGTCACACATGGGAAGAAAAAAAAATGTTTTTGCAGTTTGATTATAAATACTATGATCCTGGGCCAGCCCCACGGCCTCAGTTAAGTTCAGCACACTCCACGCTGGGGCCCAGGTTCAGCTCCCAGGTGTGGACCTACACCACTCATCAGCCATGCTGTTGTGGCAGCAACCCACATACAAAATAGAGGGAGACTGGCACAGGTGTTAGCTCAGGGCGAATCTTCCTCAAGCAAAAAGAGGAAAATTGGTAACAGATGTTAGCTCAGGGCGAATCTGCCTCAGCAAAAAAATAAATAAAAATTAAAATAAAATAAAAAAATACTACGGTCCTAATCTGCAGAGTTTCCTTTGCCAGGTATAAAAAGTACTTTGCATAATAATATTAATACATTAAAAAAGCTAAGGTAAAATAAAAGCCCAAAGTATTTTCTAAAAAATTAATATATCTGTCTAAACCACTGTATAAAATAACAGAAGTCGACAATTTATATGTCACTTTCATGTAAAAATAAATAGTATGTCACATTAACAATATTTTACTTACAAATTTAATGATCTCCTCATCTATTAGGACTTAACCCATGAAAAGATCATTGGCTATCTGGCTTGATTTAATTTTTTTAAGTGGAAGTTGAAGATGTAGCACCCTTCTCACTAGTCCACTCTACTCTCCCCACTACTGCCATCTCTGCTAAGCCAGCGACAAGAACTATTTTTACGATTGTAATGGTGTCAGAGGGAATGAGGGCAAAATGTGGTCAAAGAAACTTGACAAGAGCAGGCCAGGGAACTAAAGAAAAACAATTCAGAAAACTCCAGATTATCTAGATCTTATATTTGAATATTCCACATGCCAAATAACCTAAACGAGAGATTCTATGGTAAACATGTTTGCAGCATTGCAAGAAAACCTCACTCATTCCACTCATTTACAAATAAAATATGAATTAGAAAAACAAATGGAGAGAGCTAGATAGATGGATACAAAAGGCCACATTTGGTTCTTTTTCAAGGATTGTGAATAAATACGCAAGAGTTTACCTAAGGTGATCATGTGAGCAAGCTTCTGCAAATATTGCTCGGAAAGACTTAAAATCTTCTGTTGAAAATCTTGCTGGATCAATCTTTTCTATACAAGTAAAGAAAGCTATCGCCATAGGTGTCAATGGATTAAGGTTCAATGACGTTTCAGGTGGAGATAAAGGATCAATGTGAAGCACAGAGATTGAAAAAGTTCCCACAGCTAGTCTAAAAATAAGTTCAGGCCTGGATTCATCCACTGAAACAGATCTAGATGGGAGAGCTGAAATATGTGTTAAAATTATATATATATATATAATTTAATACTTAAACACAATCCATTATATCAAAATTATAAAACATTTACTCATGTATTAGTTTTAAAAACAGATGATCACACAACAGTTTGAATGATATTAAACAAGTAAAATAAACTGTAATCTTTCTGCATTTACATCCAGGATCCTTCATACTTAGAGTACAAAAGAGTATGTTACAATAGGAAACATATGAACAGAGCTTTTGCATTAATAAAACTGTATTGGCAAAGTCAGAGATTAACCAAAAGCTGCTCGCCAAATTTTCCTTTAAGCCTTGTGTCTATTTTAATCAAATTTTGCAAAGAAGAAACCCAGGGTTCTCTTTCAAGGAAAGTGTAAAGAATGAAACAAAAATCAGATGGGTGACTGAGACTCTTTAAACTGCAATAATAATATGAAACTTAACGATATACTTAAGTATTTAAATACTTAAGTATTAAATATTTAGGTATTTAAATACACAAAGAATACAATCCATGGGCAACTATTCTAAAACATGTCACAGGGAACTGTTCAACAATGTTTCCTGGCCGGCCCTGTGGCTTAGCGGTTAAGTGCGCGCGCTCCGCTACTGGTGGCCCGGGGTTGGGATCCTGGGCGTGCACCGACGCACCACTTCTCAGGCCATGCTCAGGCGGCATCCCACATACAGCAACTAGAAGGATGTGCAACTATGACATACAACTATCTACTGGGGGCTTCAGGGAGAAAACGGGAAAAAAAAGGAGGAGAATTAGCAATAGATGTTAGCACAGGGCCGGTCTTCCTCAGCAAAAAGAGGAGGATTGGCATGGATGTTAGCTAAGGGCTGACCTTCCTCACAAAAAAAAAGTTTCATTTTGTTTCTAAACTTTGTTAAATGGCCTAGACCAAAAAAACATTTATGAAGGAAAAGAAAAGAAGCAGTAGAATGGCATTTTTTAAAAACAAATATTTTTTTAATTTTTTAATTTTTAAAAATTCTAGTGGAAACTATCAAATGTCTTATTTTTACTTACAAGTCTTCTGTAAAGGTGCTGGGTGAACTAGGTTGGATGGCAATGTTGACCCTCTTACCGGCTGTTCTTTATGATGCTCAAGGAATTCTCCCCAGGTTGGCTGAAGCTACAGAAGAATTTTTTTTTTTATTGCAGTGACATTGGTTTATAACATTGTATAAATTTCAGGTGTACATCATTATACTTCTATTTCTGCATAGATTACCATCATGTTCACCACCCAAATACTAATCACACTCCATCACCACACACGTGTGCCTAATCATCCCTTACTCCCTCCCCCCTCCCCCCTCCCCCTCTGGTAACCACCAATCCAGAATCTCTGTCTCTTATGTGTCTGTTTGTGGTTGTTTTCATATTACAGAAGAATATTTTTAAAACACATGAATAAAGTGCAGAATTTTAGAAGCCAACTTTTCGAGAATAGAACAAAAATTAAATAATACTTTACCACAGTAGCACTTAATGGAGATCCTGCTGGCGTATTTGTGTATGTACTAGTTAGTGATAATTCAAGGTCCATATTTGGGGGGTCTCCAAGGGGTGGAAGAGAAGAGAGACTATGGGACATGTCCATATCAGCCATGGAGAAGAAAACTTCTTCCTCTAGAGAGAATTAAACTTTGTCAATTGTATTTCACGTCTTTAAAGTAAGTTAATACACAATATAATATTTTTCCTTCAGATTATCTGACATATTTTATGTCAGATATGATGCCCTAAATTTTATGTTACTTCCAATAGGGTAATTTATTTGGATCCAAGATATTAATGGCATAGTAAAAACTCCACTGAATATAGGTTAACAAAAGGTTAAGCTATCCTACTGGTGAACTTTTTTTTTTTTTTTAATATATGAATGCATTATTACATGATATATTTTTAAGTGTCATATGGCAATTTAGGAGTTAAAATTCAGATTTTAAAATAGTATAAATATCTTGCAATCTCTGGTTTATATGGATACAGCTATTTCTTTTAAAAAAAAGAGCTCAATATATTATTCAGAATTCTATTTGTGTTTTACTGCCCTCTTTCTAGAGATTGTTTTACCCTCATGCAAATGAAATTTGTTATGGCCAAAATTTATTGAGTAGACTTTAATTTTTTATTTAGTTCAACATTACATACTTAAATTGATTCTTATTATTTATGGTATTAATGCTTGTACATTCTGAAACACCTGTAAATGCAAAGTAAACTGCATAAAAATATTTACATATAATTAATAGAAAGATTAATAGAGAAGGAATCTTAAAGGAATCTACTGTAAATCATTATACGAGCACATAAGAATTTGATGAAATTAATAATTACCTCCAATTTACCCTTTGTGTAAATCTACATTTTTGTAAATTGACTTTCCTTAGAATAAATCATGATTTACAAAACTACACAATCAAAAAAGGATACTGTAGCATACATGTGCCAGTGCATCACTATAATACTGTGGTTAGATCAACTTATAAATTTAAACCTTCTTACAGTATGGATCTTTTGTTTTTTCATTACTAAACTCCATTTCGAAGCGGCCAAAATTAAGTCTACTTTGCTCTATGACGACAACATATGAGTTTGGTGTCAACTTTTTGAGTTGCTTACCACGGCTAGAAGGTGTACGAGCCGTTTCTGTCTCATAAAAGCTTTGCTCTGAAGATACAGCGACAGAGAGGGAATCTTTTCTCAAGTAATACCGATTTAATTCCATCTGAATTCGATATTCCTCTTCCTGCTGCATGGGTCGATTTTTTCTATCTTTATTAGCTAACCCTATTTTGCTAGAATTTTCTACAAGTATACAAAAGGAAAGCAAAACAGTAATTAAATTTGGAGTTACTTAATCATTTCTCTCCCAAAACCCACTTATCCAATACCAATGGCAACTTAATACCAGTCTGTGCAAAACCACCACTACTTAATATTAATGAGAGATTTAAGCAATAGCTTTAAGCAGCTAGCTGGGAATCACAAAGTCTTATCTTTGACAGATAAGTCATTAAAAATATTTTAAAATGTGTGCTACTCAGGCTTACTAAGAAAAAAAGAGAAAAGGCTCAAGTAAATAAAATTAGAAATGAAAGAGGA